TCACTGGCTTGTTTGCTCAGCCCACATCATCCCGGGCCATCAGCGCACTGCCCGCCACTGTCGGGGTCACATTCTCTGCTTGAGACCCATTTGCCAGTCTGCATTAGACAAAATCCACCCAGACCCAAACCCCGAATCTTAGCATCAGACTAAAAACTTGGGCAGTCATTCCTTTCAGATACACACACGTAGAGTGTGGAGGTTCTCTTCTGTGGCTCTTCAAAGTAGAGCCCTGAAAGAATGCTTAGAGTATAGAAAAGCAAAGTGAAATTCTAAACAGAGAAGAATCTTTTACATCAAGGAGAAGAGACTGGAGAGGTGGGTGGGGGAGGGCGCGGAGCGGTGCGCCACCCGGTGTGTTAACAGGAGCCTTCTCAATGGGCTCCAAATGCCTGTTAATCACACTAAAATAAAACGAGAGTTTATATACTATTGCTTTTTTTGTTCCCTCGTCACTTTTTTTTTAATAGACAGTGAACCCCTTAATTTGGCAAACTCCAATCATTCAGATGCTACGTGATCCTCTTAGAAGTGAAAAAAATTTTAAAGATAAGTCAGGCCATATAGCTGCCCAGCCTAAAGCCTTCCAATGACTTCTCCCTGCCCTGGAGACAAAAGCATGTTCCTGCTGTGGCCAGCGGGGCTTTGCTGGCTCTGGCCCCAGCATCACTTCCCCCACCCCTGCCCCATTCAGATCCCACCCTACAAGCAACTGGCTTCCCTGTCAACAATGCTTTCCCCCTTCAGAGCCCCTGTGCACGGCATCCCCTCTGCCCAAATGCATGTCCTTCCTCCCTTCTGCTATCTTTGCAGGCTCTCCATCCCTCTCTCCCTCTTGGTCCTAGCTTACACGTCACCTCCACAGATAGGTCTTCCCCAAACCACTGATCAACGCCGGATCCCCCAACGCCGGGTGTCTCCTTTCTTTTCTCTTCGTTTGTTTCCTTCGTAGCACTCCTTCCAACCTAAAGTTTTTTATTTACTGTTTTTCAAGACCGTCTTCCCCACGAGAGTGCAAGTTCCATGAAGGCAAAAAGCGTCCACCCTGTTCATGGCTGCAGTAACCCCAGCAGCTGTCAGAGCGCATCATACATTGCAGGCGCCGAGTTACTGTGTGTTTCAGAGTCAGCTGCAGCCATCACATGGCTTTCCTACTCCAATTCTCATTTTAACAGAAAATTTTCCACAAAAAATAAAAGGAGGTTCTGAGAGTAAGTTTTAAAAAATTTAAAAAAAATTTTCAGGCAGTAGGTAATCAGGATTTATTTATTTATATGGGGGTCCTGGGGACTGAACTCCGGACCTCGCGTGGGCTGAGCACACAGTACCACCGAGCTACACCCTCCCCCTCTTCTGAGAATAATTTTTGAATGCTAATGCTGCTCTTCCTGCTCTAGGAAGGGGCATTTACTATTATACTAAATATTCCTTTCCAAAAGTGCTCAAATTATTCACACTGTCTTACTCCTGTAAATGTGGAATACTTACTCCTCCAACCCCTTAAGACCAAATGCTCCAAGAAGTTCATTAATGCATGAACTCAACCGAATTTAAACTCCCACACGATTCCCCCTACCCCCAGACACTGCTTTTGCCAAAGCATAATTTCCAAGACAGGTCTGAACGTTAACTATCCAAAGACATACAACACGCCCTGTCACACACACGCAAAGACTCGCAGTCATTGATGTTATAGCCCGTGAGGAGGCCCCCGCCAGCTCTTCCTGTAACAGGCGACTGAAGCCATGACACCCGTGTTTAAGGGATCTCCGCTCTACCCGGGATTTTCAGGCCTTTGGGTCCAATTTGTCAATGACGGCAGTTGGTGAAACCAGAGTTAGGGTTCTGGAACGGTTTGATAAAAAATAAACAAGGGGCATTAAGGGATGCGGTTTTCCCCTCTAAACTGCCTGAAATACTCGGTTCTCATTGATTCTGGGAGCCTTTCCTAGCATTAAAACAGTCCCTGATCCACCTCTTTGCAAGTCACCTTTGGGGCTGAGACCGAAGTAACAGTTTCACCATTTACCGCTCCTGTCTGAGTCAGCAGCGGGGAGGAAGTCAGGATGAAGGCTGGCGTTTGGACGTGGACCGGTTTAGAATGAGCCACTCACCCAGAAACCGTGGCTGCCCGTGTGGCACCAGCAGTGCTCTCCAGCAACTCTGAGCAGGAATTCTGAAAAAGGCCGTGAACTTTTCAATGGTTCCAACGTCCCTGTGAGCTAAACAACAGTAATACTAATACGAGCATATGTGTGTGGAGTGATGCACAATTTATAAAGACATATGACCTCATTTAATCCGCTCTCCCACTCTCGTGGGGACCCTGTGCGGTAAGAGAAGGGCCACACTGAGATAACACTGGAGAGCAGAAGCAGCCTGGAAGTTCCACAGTGGGTGATGGATGACGGAGGTCGCCTGGATGGCTTGACTTCCCGCTTTCTGTGGGTTTTTGTGATTAATTCACCCACTTGCTGAGGAAGTTTCTTTCCATTGGAGAAAATTAAAAACACCACTCTCTGGACAGGAATGTGGGATCATAAATGAGAACCAAATAGAAAAGATTTACGCAAAAGCACAAGCTCAGCAAAAGAGAAAACTTAGAAATCGCTAATAAGGTATAAATCAAGCAAAGGCTATTAGCAAACTCCTGGTAAGAAAAAAAAGGCCTTTTAAGCAATTTGCCGAACCCTTAACAATACCATTTCTACCTACGATCTTCAAATATCTCCAGGGTAATTCAGCTCATATCCTTAAAAAGTCCCGTGACGACTGTCCAATTTGAAGTGCTTTACACAGAATCACAGAGTGTACCAGAAAGCAGTGCCTTGCTGTTGTGCCTTGAGAATCGTGTAATTTTTAGGGCTGTTGGGTCTTCCTTATCTGTGCGTTCTCCACAGTAATAAACACAGGGGTCAGAAGTATTTGTTTAATGTGTGAACAAGCAGGTGAAATGAGGGAGGGAGGGATGGATGGATGGATGGGTGGATGGGTGGGTGGATGGATGGATGGATGGAACAAATAATGAATAGATTGATGGAAGGAAGTAAGAAAGGAAAAAAGAAAGGAAGAAAAGACAAAGACTAACTTACTCATTCTACTGATTGAAAACATGAGGGCCAGAGGGGTTACTAATTCGCCTGTACTATAAAAAAAAATTGGCGTCAGAATTGAGGCTACCAGGGGTCTTCAATCCCGGCCCAGTGTTCCCAGCCTCGATTTTCCTCTCTTCCATTTATTTGTCTCTTTTATCAAGAGTTCTGAAAGATTAACAATATTGATCAACAATATAACCTTCTTAGTCATTGGGAACCACTTTTGGAGGCACAGAGGCTGACGCGTTTGTGCCTATCTGATAATCAGGGAAATTAAGCAGAGAGCAGCTTTTCTGTGGCCACGTTGAGCTCATCAGGAATGAGAAAGTACAAAGACTGATCAACGTCAGCTTCCTGCCCATCGCATCCTCTGGGATTCACGCAGCACGTTGGCCGCTGATGCCGGCCTCTACCTGGGTCAGTGGAACGTGGAAACAGAAGACGTCCACAGGCCCTGGCCCAACCGCACCTCCTAAGAAGGAATTCTTGCCCCAAATACCCTACGAACAGTGACTCTACCTCTGTCCGGGGAGTCTGAGTGACAAGGAGTCCACCGCTCCTCAGAGGGACCTGCCGCCCTTGGGCGAACTCTCCTCGCCAGGATCCAGTAAGTGCAGCATTTCAGCTGCGGCTGGTGTTGCCCTAAGATGCCTTCCCTTCGGGCTCAGCTTCTTGGCCTCTGCCATCACAGACTCAGAGAGCAAGTCCCTCTGCTAGGTCTCGGTGACTCGCCTGAATTGTGCTTAAGACAGAACCACAAGCAAAAACGATGTACCTCGGAAGGCTCAGTGCGCCTGGTGGCAACGGACGGAAGTGGTACCTGGCTGTGAGAAGGTGCCTCTCGGCAGGACAGCTCCCGGGAAGGGAGGACGCCCGCGATGAGCGCTGCGCAGCTCTGCCCCACGAGCCGCCTGGGAGGAGGCCACGGGGCGACTGCCTGCCGAAGCACAGCCACGGTTCCGTAACAACCCACTCCTCTTCTGGGACTTCCAAATCTCCTTCAGCAGGCGCCCCCCCTCACACCACGACGGCCCTGCCGGCACGGCTACACGGAGGCCAGCCTTCAGGCTGCACACTGGCTCTGGCTTCTTGATCCAAGCGGTTCCTTTCAGCAAACCCAGGAGCAGGCTTGGTCTAGGAAGCGCCTTAAGTATAAGCACTGGGAAGGTCTCAAGGTACAAAAATGTCATAACAGGCTCATGTTTTCCTTCAAGAATGAAAATCTCCCTATATTAGCACAACAGTCTAGTTTGGGATGGACCCTGGGAGGAACAGGAACACATCAGGATCTGTGATCCCTCCAAGTGGCACCTATTTCCACCTCGCTGGAAGGTTCCAATGATGAAACTGTCTTTTTTTCCCTCCACGCCTAGAGTTTCAGAAAGGCATTAAATAAGGAAGAATGATATAATTTACCAGTATAGAAAAAAGTCACTTAACTTTAAACCTTTAAGATCTGATACAGGGATGTGGTATCTGACGCGGATGCTGCAAATCCCCAAGCTACTAACACGGTTCAGATACGCCCTGGGGCCAACCCCCGGGGGCAGACGCACCTCCTAGCATGTGACCCATGTGACCTCGCCCCCTTTGCCCCGTGGCTTTGCTGGGCCCAGATGGAGCAAATCAAAACCCCACGCTGGGGCTGTGGGCTAATCTGCGATCTCTAAACCAAGACAGCATCCACGCCCATCACCTCTCAGCCAAGAGCACAGCAGCCCGGGTGCCTCGTGACTCTCTCAGAGGAGCACAGCCCACTCTCATGACGTGGGATGGAGTTTCTTTCTAGAAACTTCTGTGGGTGATCTGGCCAGAAAACCAAGGTGCTTTTTGCTCAGCTGTTTCCTAATATGCCTTTCACGTTGCAGCCCAACGCTAAGAGCAGCCGAGAGCGCTGGTACTTGCCCGGTTGAAGGGTTCATGATGCAGCCTCCTTTGTCGGCAGCCGTTTTGCAGCTACAGCCCCTCTCCAGCGTGTCGTGGTTCATGCCGAAATTGTGGCCCAGCTCGTGCGCCAGGGTCACGGCCGCGCCCAGGGGACTGTCTGAATGGTCCTCAAAGAAAACACAAGAGCACCAAGTATAGTTGGTGCTTTTTGGCCTCTTTCCCAGTCCCTTCCGCCCCCAGTGCTGCCCCCCAGACACTGATCTTTCATTAACATTTCAAGGAATCCAATCTCTTGGAAGGAAACAACATAGAGCCCCATTGTTTAGTTCAAACTTACAAATAGATTTGACCTATTAAGCCAGCCTGGGGTCCCCTCTGCTGAGGAATGCACACCTCAGGAACACACATAGGATTCCGTGTGTCTTGACATGAAATAATCAAGGCAGTCATCTCCCTCCTGCTTCCTACAATCTCTCACAAGACATTGTTCTATTGAATGAAGCAAAAAGTCATCCCGCATCATAGGAAAAAGCAGGTCATTCCTTCCCGTGTAGTAAAAGGACCATTTTATCTTTGAGAAGCTGCTGACGAAAAGTTGGAAGGGGACGCACACTTTGTACAGTCTAAATAGGATCTGAGCAACTGTCGCTGAGTATGCCTCTTCCTGTCCACTGGGTAGAGAAGGATTCTTGGGAAATTCACAATAATTCACCAGAAAAGCTAACCACACTGAGGCATCTGTTTGAAGACTCACTGAATTAAGATATAACGCGGTTATGCCTCACTCTTGCTGGCCCTTTATTTTGTCAAGTTGACTTTGGAAATGGCTGGAGGGACCCTGATTCTCTGACTTCTGATGCTGGGAATTTGTTCAACCTTTTGCTTGGTTTTGGGAGGCGCGTACTCCATCCAGCAAGCACTACTTGGCCACCCTGAACTTCATGGAGGGCATGCGTGGCTTGGCTAAATAGATACTAGAAATTAATTTTAAAATATTACTACTTAACTTTAACAAACTAAAATGAATTTATCAGTGAATGTGATTTGCTGAAATCGAGCCCGTGATTGGTATGTCTGAAAAGGCCTGGACACCACACAGTAATGAAGGTACCTTATTTGAACCCTGCTTTATGCTACCCAGGAGATAGGTTACCCTAAAAAAGGTTATGAAAAATATATATATATATAAAACTGAATCACTCTGCTGTGCACTAGAAACTAATGCTGTAAATTAACTATACTTAAAAAAAAAGCTTCCAAGAAATAGCGCTACCCTGCTTTAGAGAAAGCATTTTGTTTGTTTTAATTTTTCCCCAATTCATTTTATTTAGAAATTTCTGGAAACACTACATTCTAAAATACTTCAGTGATACACCTCGGAAGGTTTTAGAGAAAGCGTTATTCTTGATACGGACGATGTTTGTGGCTTCTTGGTAAAGGTGAGTTCGAATAAGATTTTATAGGTTTGTTGGTGGCTCCAGCTGTGGCTGCCTCTCTCACCAGCCCTCGGTCTAAGAAGAGGGTGGCATGCCAAAAACCCAAGTTATTCCTAGAATAGATGAAATTCCTAATAAATTACTTTGTTTAGGTTTTACAGTTTCCTGTTGTAGGAAGCTTCACAAATATGTTTCAGGAAATCGGTTTTCTTCAATCTAAGAATGTTGGGGGCTGAATTTAGCATGCTTTAGCACAAAATTCAAGGAATTCATCCTTTAAAAAAATCACTCTTCGTCAGATTCTTTTGTACCACTGAATACCTTGGTTTTGTTTTTAATTGCCAGATTGTCTTACAGTCTTTCACGCATAGGTGGTTATAAACAGAATGTCTCTTGAGAGACCCTGATGAACAGCTTACATGTCGAATAAGGCAAAACCTGATTTCTTTCTTTCTGGCATCATCTCCAAACCAAGACTATTTTAGTCCCATTAGATAGACAGGCATGGCTTTCAGTTACTAAAATTAATGATGTGCTCTATCTTGGAAAAATAGAGAAACGGTACCAGCACTTGTATTTTCAATGTGAGTCGGATTCCTGCTTCCTTGCTACACAGTCCCCTTCCTCTTAGATTTGTGAGTCTTGCAAGAGGCATGGTCACGAATTAACTTGAGAGACAACGGGAGAGAGTCTAGATCTGGTCAAGACGCGGATCTTGCATATTTCATGAATTTCACTGGAATTAAAGGAGTCGTGGACTTTCACCCCACTCCACGCTTCTCTTTTATGTGGAGTCAACAAGGAGGGTGGCTGAGAACGCCCTTCACTGCTGCCAAGTCCATCAAACATACTTCCTATTGACCAACTTTGGTCCTGACCTGATTCTTCCCACAGCACCTGTATCTGCTTATATTTCCCACATTAATTTTCATCCATTTAAAAAAATCAGGATTCCCTGTTTGCTTTCAAAGAAGGAATCTTATCAAATGCTTATACAGAAAGAGAATAAAGGATATGAACTTAAGAAAGCCACTTAATGTGACCACACCGGTTACGGAACATTTAAACACTCCCCAGCGAGCAGAACTTGCCATGCTTAAAAGGAATTCAGTTTCATCTCTAAAAATATTTACGTCAATTTGAAGTCACAAAGTCACAACTGACCATGGACCTGTGAAACAGAAAATCAGTCCCTCTTAAAACTTCACAGGCTGTTCTATAAAAATACGGTTTGGATCTGACTTGAAATTAACCGGGCACCAACCAAAACCAAACTTTCCAATGACTTCCATAGTGGAGGTCACACACAGGGCTTCCAGGTTCAAAGGAAACCAGAGGGTAGCCCATTTAAGCCAGACATCCACTGCGTGGGTGCGGTCCCTCCAAACAGTCCGCTCAGCCTGTGCATTTAGTGCACATTTCCGTTAATTACCAGCGCCACCCAGAGAAGAGGAAGCCGTTCTTTGTGGAAATTCGCTGAGAAGATGAGGTTGGGTGGTATGTGGAGAGAAAACAATAGTTGGCGGAACATTACTCCTTTGACCCTCTAAGACAACAACAGAATGTTCACAAACGTCCTATTTGAAAAATGTGGAGGAATGCAGGGTTTCTTGGAAGA